TTCTTAGCCATGATATGTAGTCTAATAAAAAGTGAACCAAAGTTAAAGTAGTGTCTTCAAGGATTTGCAGGAATTCTAGTTGATGGAGTTTGGTAAATTTAAGTGGGCTAATATCTATCAATCACTTGGCTTATATATGGATTTCATTTGATACCAATATAAAACTGTATTTAAGAGAACAATAATTAGCCTGTTTGTTTAAATTTACCAGTGATTTTTCTATGCTTTCTCATGTTAATGAAAGTAGAAGTACTGTCCTGCTTTAAAGTTGAAATGTTGAAATATAATAAAATATATAATTCATTATTGCCAAGGGAACACTAAAGAATAGGCTTGTTTGCTTCATCTGAAAGCAAAAAAAAAGTAACCAAAAATTCAGATTTCACTAGGTTTTAAAACTTTAGGTTCAGATTGCTTTACCAGCCAGCCACCAAAAATAAAAGACTTTGGGCAATTCATACACATCCTTTGCTATTTCTGTGTAATCAAGCCCAAGATAGTTATTTGCTGTGTACATTTCAAAGAAAATTAAATATATGCTCACCTGGCAAATAAAGGGAATTTTGTGCAACAGCATCTCAAATAACTTGGGAGGAAGTGTGTGTTTGAAAACCTTCAGAAGTTCCTGTGGTTGTCCACACACTAAAAGGGCATTGCCGAGATGTTCAACCCCCATTATATGCTCTCCTAAAACAGATTGATAAATTTTGAGCAGATTTTAAAGTTCTTCAAAATATAGACCCTACAAATTAACAAGAAAGCAACAAGCATTAAAAATTAAAAAGCATATCACACTAAAGATTATTTAGACAAGTCTCATGAAGAGTAAAAAGTACAAATGTGAAAAGGTTGAGTGGTAAAGCTACAATATGAATAATTTTATGAGCCAAATTACAGCAAATTTACTTTTGCATTGGAAATGTTCATGTTTTCAATTTGGGTATGTAGGGAGGAAGTAATGAGGTTTTTCAAAAAGGTGGTCTGCTTTTATTAAATGAGATAAGATATCTTTACACTTGTGATTGGTGAAACACTATAGATGAGACATCTGATGTTCTGGCTAAATAAAGCTTTTTAAAAATAGATTTCATTATCAGAGAATTGAAACTATTTAGCGCAACATGAATCACACATCCAGAGGAAGAAAATAAGAGATTTATAAACTCTGATTTCTTTTCTTTTTTTTTTTTTTTTTTTNATGAATAATTTTATGAGCCAAATTACAGCAAATTTACTTTTGCATTGGAAATGTTCATGTTTTCAATTTGGGTATGTAGGGAGGAAGTAATGAGGTTTTTCAAAAAGGTGGTCTGCTTTTATTAAATGAGATAAGATCTCTTTACACTTGTGATTGGTGAAACACTATAGATGAGACATCTGATGTTCTGGCTAAATAAAGCTTTTTATTTTTTTTTATTTTTATTTTTTATTTTTTTTTTTGTCTTTTGTCTTTTTCCATGTCCGGCAACGGATCGCAACCCTCAGTGTTGCCCCCGTACCGGACTGGGGACTGGCAACGGGATTGCAACCCTCGGTGTTGCTCCCGCGCCTCGCTCAGCCAGTGAGCGGGAACCGGTCTGTACGTGGGATCCGAACCCTCGGGCGGGAGCGCCGCCGCGCTTCCCAAGCGGCGCACTTATCCAGTGCGCCACTGGGCCGGCCCAAATAAAGCTTTTTAAAAATAGATTTCATTATCAGAGAATTGAAACTATTTAGCGCAACATGAATCACAAATCCAGAGGAAGAAAATAAGAGATTTATAAACTCTGATTTCTAAGTAAAGTTTTAAAATGAGTTTTAGGATGATTGGTTGTGAAGGAACAAATTACAATTCGTAAGGAGCGGAAATTAATCAGAATTTCTGTTTAAGTTTAAACGTGGAATGACTTAGTCTCTCTCTCGTTTTACTTTTAGGAAACTGAGGCAAAGATCAGGCTTCAAAACTAATACCAGAATTAGGAGTAGAACCTAATTTTCTGACCCTTAAGACTAGAGTGTACTGCCTCTCTTCAGGTATTATGTGATCATAGGAGTTGAAATTTTGAAATAATATAGGTAGGAAATAAAAAATATATTTCCCTACAGGTAAATATATTAGATTCTTATTAACAAACTCA